CCAGTCTCTTATTCTATCGTGGTCTTAACCTCTTCAATAGTCGTTCCCCGAAAAAATTTTAATTTTTCTAATTTTCAGTTTTACTTTTAGTTTGCCTTTACTTTATTAATTAATTCACTATTATCACTCTCATATGTTCCTTTTGTACATTTTCTCAGTCTCTTCACACTTGTTAAATTGAAACTCAACTACTTTTCTTCTTACTCAATAACAATTTGAACCTTTTCAAATTTCTGACCCTTTCTTCCTTTGTGCTGTTGAGTACTATGTAGTTTACAACTTTTATTTTCACTTCTAAAGCCACTTCTGAGTAATTATATCTTATTATGTCTTTCCTACCCGACCTTCCTGATTATTACATAATGTAATTTTTAAATTTGACCTTTGACCGGGAATGATTCTGGAACTTTCTCACACATTTAATATAAATACACGAATGTACAGCCTAGTTGATGACTTCATCGAAAAGAAAATCTTCTTCGCTGAATTATCATTTATTTTCTTCATGAATCAATGGGAATTTCCAAACCTACTTACATCAGCTTGCTGTTTATCTTTCAGAGAGTGCTGATTTGTTCTAGTCAAACTAGGAAGCTTATTTGACACTTACGAGCAGAAGGGAAATGAAGAAGGAAGTGTGTGCGTGTGTTTGTTTAATTTTATGCATAAAGACGGACAGTTAGAAACAAACACTATCTCTGCCCTTAAGGCATATTCGTAGATTTTCGCTGAGTTATGTCTCTTCTTTATCTTTTTATGAATACGGATTTGTACTCAAAAATCACATGATGACACTATTGAACAGACAGAGTTTCGTTAATCGCTGCTTTTTGGAGAAAATTCCTTTTGTTTCAAACTGTGTGAAAACTGAAAGTTTAGTGAATTCATCACCGATAGCTCCTCCCATGAGGTGATGGTTGAACTTGCCTATCACAAAAACCCAACGAAATACACTCACTGGAAAGAACCTTCCTGAAGGTACAACCATTCCAGGCAAGTCGTCTGGAAAACACCTGGATTGAAAGCGGTCACCATTACAGTGTAAGTCATTTGCACTATAATGGAAAGACTGTAGGCGAAGTAGTATTGCTGGAGGAAAGGTGTGTGACAGTGATTAGGCGTTTACTTCAGATAACCAGCAAGCCAGCTATTCTGCATCTCCGCTGGAAGAGGATGGAGGTTAGGAAAGATCGACCGCAGAAACTGTACATTCTGAATTGTCTTGAGGAGGTGCATAGCCAGTGGTAAGATGTTAATATGAACACAACTCCAAAACCGCTTTCAAAGAGGCCGTATCTCACCAGCTTCATTTAGGTGTTTCCCTGGAGCTCTGCGGTTGTGCAACACTAATGCTCCTTTTTGTTTCAAGTATTCCATGAAAAAATTGATTTCCATGGTGTGGGCGTTCGGAAGGCAGTAATCATCAATACACTTCTGTGGACACGAAAACCTTCCCCGATCATCACACTTTATCTCTTCTTTGTCTCTAAGAAGTATCTTCAACTAATGAAAACTAAACTACTTCATCAAAATCAAAGGGGTTTAGCGCTGGCACTGTATTACAAACCTGGGTGATAAAGATGCTGAACGAACCGACATACATTCGATTCATCAAATTCTGTTTGAAAACAAATTTAACACGTTGTACGTGAACTTAAATACTCACTTAATCTCTCCTTTCAATCAGTAGGTGTATATAACAAATTCCAAGTATCTACTACTAAGTATTGCTGCCGACTACTTTTGGCCAGTCAGGTTTGCGTCCCATGGTCACTGAATAGTCTTATTCGGGTTGAAATCGCCAAGGGAACAATAGTTCCGTCGGGCTTTCACATAGGCGTTTCTAATTAGTGCTAATAAGCATGATATCCTAATTCACTGCTTTATACCGATCAGCTGCAAGTTTTGTTTTTGAATCTCTTATTTAGACTATAGGATTTCTGATGATTTCGGATTAACTTCAACTGTTAGAAACAAAATCAGTTTTAATTTTCGTTGGAAACTAGGAAGCGTAGGACAGGATTTCTGTCCTATACTTAGGCTCATCAGTGTACAACCACGACCCCACCACGCATCCAAGCGAGACTCTTCAGATTAAAAAACCAACCTTGTTGTGTGATGGATTAGATGTTTTGAAAATCCCTACTGAACGATATAATTACAATCTTAATACTTATTTGAACTTTTCAAATAACTCTGTAATCATCATCTGTTTTTCTCCTAGAAATTTGCATATCATCCGTTGATTTAAGCCTAATTATCTATCTTTGTTCATTTAATACCTAATTTTAATGCTTCTCTTTGTGGCTGTCTCATAGTTTTGAAAATGTGTTGTCTGTTTGAGTGAGTGAGGGTGTTTCAGAGATTGGACTGTGTGTAGGAATCAAATGGTGTGTGATTCTTGATGACAGAGTGTTTGATCCCAACTTATCGTGAATATTGCATTTAATTCTCAGGTATTTCCTACGAATAATTCATGTTTTTGTACATTATTTATTTCATAACTGAGAAATTATTACACTGCCTAGGTGCTTTACAGCATTGTTGGGGAAATTTTGAGTTTTGAAATAAATTATTATTGTTGAATAGTAACACAGAATTTAACTCAAGTAATTTTCGTTTTACTGTAGCTGGTATATTTTTGACTGGCTGTAAGTGCTCATATTTCTGATTAACTATATTGTGAAACTCTAATTTTGGTTTCCAGCGTTCTACCAACAGGAATTTGGTAGACGTTATTTTGTTACACATTGACCATTCAGTCACTTAGGCTGTATTTGTTCTCTGAGTGATTCATGATTGATTCATGACGAAAATTGTTCGCAAATCCGCACAAATCCTGTAATCTGAATATAAATCTCCAACTAATTTATGGTTACCGGATATATTTTCTGAAGCTGCAGCGTAATGTCACAACCAGTCGGGTCCATCATGTCAAGAAGAGCTCATTGACGAGCTCCCCTTGTAACCAGAACGTCTTGGGTTCTATCAGTAGTAGGTGGGTACTATGAAGAGTCCTAAAATAGGACGAAACAGCTATCCAGTATCTTTCGGTTTTCCAGCGGTCCTATAACTGATGTCAGTTCATAATAGAATCCTGAAACCATTCAAATCCCTGCAAACTAAAACTTGAATGTCAAGGAGAACTGGATTCTCATCGAAGACATTGGGGAGAGCAGTGTTATATCACGAGTTGATAAAATCAGAATTCAGGGGTCATTAAATTCAAGCCAACCGACTGAATGGTCAACAAGCTTAGTCTCACAACCTACCGGTCCTGGTTTCTACATCTGATTGATTCGTGGGCGCACTCTGCTTAGGAGTCCTAGTTTAGAATGAAACAGCAGTCCACTGCTCTCTGGTTGTTGCTTCGTGAAGAAAACCTAACAGTTGAAATCACTGGTCTGCCTGATATACAGTTTTCTTTTCAGTAATATTAACAGCGTTTAATTCATTCTTCCATAATTAGAAAACAGAATATGTGTAAAGTGTAGTTAAGTGAAGTTTTTAGCTTTCCGAATTAACAGACACCCCTTTTTACCCCCATTTTATACAACATTTATTCATAACAACAATTGTAGAGATTTACTTCCCGATACGAATTTAAAACAAGCAGCAAAAGATGTTAATAAAGCACGACTTAATGAACTCATCAAATTTCGGTAGAACTCTTAAGCGGAATACTCAACATACATGGATATATATATATATCTGTTACTGGGAATACATTAGGAGATATAAGACACTTCAAAGTGCGTACATCAGATTGAGTGTGTTTGTGGAGTGAAATACGAAGTTTCTACTCGCATGTTGGAGCATTTGCCAAAGTGGTTGGAAACAGCGGAATTCAAACTGCCAGAAAAGCTCAATAACAAAGCATCTTTTTGACTACGGACATGATAGTGACGCTGTGAAGTCATTCACCGTTTTCAGCGGACAGAGAAACAGGAAAATGCTTGCGATTGCTGAGGCTTGTGCAATTCGAGTTTATAAACCAGGCCTCTGTGTACAAAACGAAATGGTTGTCACTCTGAGTCTACCATGGGAATACATTTTACTTATTAACTGTTATTATTATTAGTATTATTAACACTTTATTTTACCTCTTATTATCACTGATTCATTTAAAACTGTCTTTGCTCAATACTCCAGATCAGATGACGAGAAAAGATCAGCAAAAAGGGATCTCTGGGAGCGAACCAACCAGGAACCGATTGTGCAACAAGTATGCAGGAAGAATTGGAGGTGGATTGGCCATACTCTGAGAAAACAAACCATCAAGTGACATCACACGCTAGGCTCTCGAGTGGAAACCGAGCTAGAAGCAGTGAGTTTGTCGTCCAAGAGTGACATGAAAAAGGTCATGTGAAAAGGAGATGAAAAAATGTAAGCAGACGTGTAGCCAGGTGAAAACGTTTGCAGAGAACCGAACTCAGCGGATACGTGTGGCTGAAGCCATATGTTCCTTTAGGAGCTGAAGTCAACAGTGATTTATCAGTAAAATTATCTTAATCCAACTGTTATCATTACTATTAATATTACACAGTTCACAATTCTTGATATATTTAACCTCCATCTCTAATGATTAATTGTTTATCTAAGTGATGTAATTGAAGCGTAATGCATTTTATTTCAATTTCAGTCTCTCATACCACCTTACCCTTATCTATTCAAACATGAACTCGTGTCGCTTTGCATGATTAATTCAATGTAGTTTATTTGCTTATCAATCTTATATCTCCCAATGTATTTCCAATAGTATATATCCCTGTAGGTAGAGTAATCAGCTGAAGAGTTTTGCCGAAGTTTGATGAATTCATAAAAGATCCTGCTTAATTAACACCTTCTGTTGCTTGTTTTATATAACCACAATAAAAGCAAACGTGAAGAGACAAGACTGAATTTGCATTGACATTTATTTACTCACTACTAATCATATAGTAGTCATATAGTCGAATGAACACCAATCACACATATACTACTTCCAATAATGATTAACACATTAAACTGACATTATTAATAATAATAACAGTATTAATAGGGATATGTGGTAAGGCAGTAAAGACACGTATGATATGTACCAAACTCATCTTTATATTATAATCACATCAGCTGATAAATAGATACATTAGTTAGAACAATATACATACACACATACATGAATACTCTTCACATATCTAATTGTCCATTTCAGAAATCATAGAATGGTAAACTGACCTTTTTTAAATTGCCTAATAAAATGTAAATATAATTACAAATACACACAGTCACACACACAGAGGGAAATATGAAATAATCATGGCAAATCACTGGCTTTAATTATTATTATCTGTCTACCTGCATTTTTGAAATATTTTTGTACAAAAATGTATAAATGTTGTTCGAAATTGATGGGACATTGAGCAATATAATACGAAATTAATACCATTATTAACGATGGTCAACAGATCCATAAAATCTCCGAGTGCATTGTATACTGTATCGGTGAAACAATTTCCTAGAAATCCGCTTAAAAATAATAAGATTGCCTATAAGAAAAAAAGAAGAAAGGAGGGAAAAACAAGGAGAAATTACATCATTTTGTTAGAAATTGAATCGTTTTATAAGGCTAGTTAGCGATTAAAAAAATCTCTTTAGTGATATAATTTTGTAACCAGAGGTAAATTCAAATCATCTACTAAAATGACATTATGCAGTCAACAGGTGGAGGGTGACTATCAGTGGAATCCAGGATGCGCATTTCGTCCTATGTGGGACTCGTCAACTGGATGCACCTGCATTCCCCAGTAAGTGATAGTGTTCCCACCGAGGCTCGAACCCAGTACCGTAGTTTCACACAGTAAAGCGTTATCCACTAGACTACTTGGGTCCAAGTGGAACACTATCACTCACTGTGGGGGAGTTCAGGTATATCCAGGTGACCAGTATCACATAGAATGAAATGCGCATCCTGGATTTCACTGCTAGTCACCACCCACCAGTTGACTTCAAGTTCAATGACCAGACATCGTCGAAGCATCTGCACAAGGAGCTGACATGTCAACCTGACACCGAGCACTTCGTTCCATTCAAAAAACAGAAAATCTATACTGAATTAAATAAAATGATATCATGTTAACAATAACAGGCTTCATTATTGTGTATCTATACATTCACCTCCCCTTGTGGAGCCAATGTCATCAGCGAATATTTGTCTTGACGCTCAACCTGTTGAACCTCAATGGCAACAGAATCCAATGACGTATGAATTCCGACTTCCTCCGATTCGTGATTTTAGCTCTACCACCAGAGAATGGGTGGAAGATGGAATTCATAAGCTATTGAATTAAGTCGCAGTGGCTGAATTTATCTTTTCTTGTACCCGGAAGATCCTTGGTGCCTACTTCCGACGATTCGCAATCTAGGAAGAAACAAATATGCAGAACTCCTTGGCGTTCAACGTTTCTCCAACTGACATCACACTGTGATCGAAATTGAAATTAGAGAATCTTTGGAAATTAAGGAGCACCGAACGGATGTTTTTATGGTATTTTGCCAATTTACAGCAATATGATAGCATTGCTGTACAAGAAACCAATGAAACTTGGGACCTTTAGGTTTTAGGACGAAGCCGTTAATCATTCAGTCACTGGACTGGAGACGAAATGACTCATGAATTTGAACTTCTGCGAAATTGGCGGTGTACTGCTACTGCAAGAAACTGACTAGAACTCCAGGATATCCACCCTGAAGCTAGGCATTAATGTATAACACATTAATATTCAGCCATGTAACTTGTAGGTCTGGCATTCAATTCCTGGTAAGGTAAAGTGTAAGTACTACTAAAGGGTTCGAGATTACAGAGGTACAGCTGTCCATAACTGCTTGGTTTTTTGAATGATATTCTAACAATTTTGAAACCTATCATTTGGTACAAATAAGATGCTTCTAAAAGCATCTGAACACATTCTCCAGCATGACAGTCAAGAGAACGTTAAACTTCACAAACTAGACAAAACCATATGCATTTGATAAATTCAGGTCATTCAATTTTACGAGAGTCCTCTTTTAAAATTGTTTACAATGCAAGATGGGATGACATATGAGTTATTTTCTCCGTAAATTTGTGCTTGGTAGAGTTTATAGCAAACGATCAATTCAACACCGAAATCTGTGTACAGAAAATGTTTGCTAAATCACTTACTGTATTGTGATGTTCAGCTACTTACCTGATGGATTCTACTATCCATCGAACATAAAATGCTAATTTTGCGCATTTTATATGACGGTTTTGTTTCCTGACACTCTTCACTCTAACCTGTTGTACGCTCAACTAACAGTATTCATGAAGTTAAATTTCAAACCCCGTTGTCAAGTATTACGTGTTTTCTTCGAAATTTAGAAACTCCTTCCTCTTATTCAGTAATAGACCCCATATACATTTTAGTAAGTTGAAGTACGGTTTAACACCCACTGAGGGTGACTCTGTCGATACACAAAAAAATGTTTTGTTGTCTGGATTGTCAATGTTGGCCTCATCAATGTGTATCTATCAATTCACCTTCTCCAGTGGAGCTAGGTATGTTGACAGGACTCATATTTTGCTATTCAAACGTATCATCGAATACTAACCCTCATGATTTTATAAAAGAAAAAAGACCCTCCAGCAGGAGCTCAATCCTAGGACACCTGACCGAATCTGGATGCCAAGCTAATCTGAAAACCAACTTCAAATTTATCTACAGAATACGCAGTTATCTTGCTGAATGTGTATGAATCAAACTTCTTGAAACCATAGAAGTGATGCCTAATCACTCATAAAGTCCTAAATTTTGTATACAGAAAAAGTTTGTTTAATCCCTTCACCTGAAACAGATCTGATCTGTCTTTTTCCTTTAATTGTCTTATTTTCTGCTTCCTCCCTACTCCACTGGATATCTACCACCTGTTGCTAACTTGACTCTCATTCAATTTTAATTAAATTCTGCTCAATCCTGTCAGTAATAGTGCGTCACTCAATTTACTTTTCTACCCAACTAATGCTTCCTATATTACGTAATTGGTATCTACAATATTTAAAGTTCTAATGACGCTTTTTTGGAAATATTCCTTTTGTTGCTAAGAGAATTCTGAAAAGAGTAACTCTTTGCTATACGTCTTTTCTTTTATATGACTCATTCAGGGATTCTTAAGTCATTTAGACGTTTTCAAAACATCTGTCTTAAGAGCCGCTATATGTGTCAGCAGAAACTAAACATTTCCATCTGATATGTAATCAATCCACAGGAGAGATAGGAACTGTCTAAAGACATTTGAAATAATCTCAGACCAAATAAAACAGGCTTAGACCAGTTCGCACTAATTAAAGCAAAGGGCTGAGGCAGAACAGTCATTTGAATGCTATTGGACAACCGAAAATTCCGATTTTATGTAGCCATTAAAAGTGGTTATTTATTGCCTTAACTTCCCGGGATATGTGGTATTAATTAGCATAATAATAAAATCGAATTATTCCCACTGGATCGGATCAGTCTATCTTTTTGTCTTAATTCGCATTTACATCCTGGACATCAGAAATTATTGATGGTCAGTATGAGAATTGTACTCTTAAATCAGCAGTATTATGATTTAATTACTCATTTAATGGGGTAATGGAAAATAACTTAAACCTTTCCTGATATTTCAACGAATTTGTCGATGGTATGCTAGAACGACTAATTACCAAAGTATTACAGTATAATTGAATAACTTTCAAGACTTGGTTTGTAAGGATTAAATTTGTTTTTACCAGTGGTCAGACTCGTAAAAACAAATTTAATCCTTACAAACCAACTCTTGAAAATTAATCTGATGCTCGCTAGTGACTTACAAGAGGATGGAGCTTCCGGGAGTTCTGGTGAAAAGTCGTGACCAGTAAGGTCCAGTCAGTCAATTTTGAGGATGTATTTCCCACCGATGACATTGGTTGGTGGTCGCAATAAAATCACGAGTGGCTGAATGTTATAGGATCTTGACTTGTAACCGGAAGGTCCTCAATTCGAACCCTGGTGGTGGGTGCGTACTGCCGATGATTCCCAAACTAGAATGAAACAGCTGTCCAGTACTCCGGTGCTGGTTTTCAATAGTTCTCTAACTGATATCAATCCGTGGTCAAACTCGTAACTGAATAATTTAAAAAATCTGATGACTAAGTCGTAAACTCTACTTATTACTGCTGTTATTAATATTAAATATTTTGACTATATGAATCGCAATATTTTGAAAACATGTTGCTACTCAGCATCGAAAATACATCAATAATACAGTATTTACAGGAAATATAACTAGCGAACAGTAATTCAGAAATGTGGACAACATCATTTCTGACATCTTCGTTGTTTTTATTTTGAAGTGAAAAAATGTCAATGGAAATGCTGCTGAAACTGTTTAGTCTAGACTCTTCTTCACAGTCAAAAAGAAATCCGAACAAATCCTGTGAAGTGAGTATCAATCACGAGCTTATTGATGGTTACTGGGTGGATGGATTTCCTGGAGCTGCTGTGATAAGCCGTGATCACTGAGGTCTGCGATGTCGAAGTGAAATGGATGATCATTGAAGGCACTAGTGACGGCAGCGCTATATGACGAATTAAAAAAGTAGGCGTCCATGGTCACTGACTTCCGGCCAAAGTGGTTGAATAGCCAAGAAGCTTAAAATCGCTATCTGAAGGTCCCAGGTTGGATTCGTGTTGCGGTTGTAGTTGCTCACTGATGAACAGTGGAAAAGTAGAATGAAAAAAGATGACTCTCCATTCGTCGCTGGTTTTTAGCCATCTCTATTACTGATGTTGGTTCATGACGATAATCTAACAAGTGGATTGAAACTATTTTTAGCTTTAATTTCACAATTACTTCCTAAGCTAATAAACTATTAAATAGTTAGCATAGCAGAGAATTAACCTGAGTGAGTCTAAATGCCCTTATTTTGATGATTAGAAAAACATGTTCCACACGAATTCATTAGTGAGGCCGAATAGCTCAGTGGTAACGTGTTCGACTTCAAGCAATGGGAGACATGGATTCGAATCTCAGAAAGGACGAGGTCACCTTCATAATTTCGAATACTCCTTGCTGATGAGTTCTAGCATGGCTTACTGCCAACTGCCTCCAAATGTCTGACAACACTTCTCAGTGTACTGTGATGGCAACCTACCTAGTAAGGTAACTACACTGTAGGCCTGACTGATAGAATTCATTCAGTCTTCAGCAAACGAAGGACTAGACACTTAATATTAATTACTACCCGTTTTCTAGTCAAAGTCAATAATTCTTTCACTGTTAGGAAACTGGCGTTCATCTCTCGCTTCAGTTCAAAATATCAGTGGGGTTTCAAGTTACAGCAAACAGATACGGTAAAATATTATAAAGAGACTTTGCAGTTTGGAAATTGCATAGTTCACCAAACATTCCTTTGGAAACCGAAGTCACTCAGATCAAAAGGATAGATCTGCTTCATTCTAGAAATGGTAGTCGAGAGAGTCAGCATAATTGTGTCGGTGGCACAGCGGTA